TCTCTCTTTAAAAAAGAAAATGTATGTACATTCGACACATTTATTGGACACATTTATAGAGCCAGAAAGTGTATAGTTGGGGTAGAGGTAGAAGCAGCCTCTTAGAGTTTGCAAAAACAGTACATTAACTAACAAGTTATCTTTCATGAGAGGACTGCAAAAAGTTCATGGAAAAAAATTCAACCATGTTTATTTTTGTGCAAGAAATTTTGAAATTTGTGCATACTGGTTTTATAATACATATTTTTCATGAACTTTTTGAAAACCTGCTCATATATTATGAGTCAACAAATTTAGTCTGTGAACCCAGTTCAGACTCTCACCTATTTTTATATGTCTGGCAAACCAAAATTTTATATCATTCAAATGGTAAAAAAAAAAAAATCAAAATAATTTTATGACATATAAAAGCAGTGAAACTCCCATCTAAGTATCAATAAAGTTTTATTGCAACATAGTCATCCCTATTAATTTGCATACCCAATATGGCTGCTTTTGTGCTACAAAAACAAAACTGAGTAGTTGTAACCATGTGATAGACAAAAATACTTTCTGGCCATTTACAGAAAAAGTTGACTGCTCCTCAGTAACCGTTATCGAGAAGAAGGCTTGTGGCAGAGTATGGGATGCAGTAGAAAAGGCTCAATATTAGACATGGACCTGAAAAGCATGCCACCACAGAAACTGAGGATTGCAGTGTGGTCATACCCCCTGGGGGTAATTTCTCACTTTTTCTCTGTCTCTGTCTTTGTTTCTCTCTCTAGCAAGCACACGTGCCCTGTGGCAAAACCTCAGGAGGAGTTAGTTGGCCATCCCATTAGAAAACTCTACCAAAGGGCTTCTATTTGGCTACTGAAACAGGGATATGAATTTCTCTAAGGGATAAGGGTCTCTGTGCAAAGGGATATGTGAAATCCAGGAGCAGATGAACATGGAACATCTTCCTGGAATGTGACTTCACCAGAAGGCTGTTTGGAGGATGCTGGAGGCTGGGGAATAATTTTGCATTTCAAAATAGCTATTTTATTCATTAGAAGGTAAAATTTGCATGATCTTTTATACTAAAGTCAGAATTAAAATAAGGCTGCTTCAGGTTATAATCCCAGAGATGGACATTTGTTTTTCTCTACTTTTAAGGGTATTTTATGGATAGGTTTATAAATACTGTGTAGAATGCACCACAGAGTATTTCTGGGTGAAGATAACTGTGCTTCTTTAGGATATTAATTTGAACAAAACCCAAGAAGCATAGTTATAACCGCCCTGTTAACTTCAATTGGTAATATTTCCTTGGAATATCTTTGTTGGGAAGGATTCTGTGTCTATGTGTTTTACTCAGAGGTCAAAAGAGGGGGATTAGCGATGTCTGCTGGAGTTAGAGGCGGCGGCACATGGCAGTTTGCTGTAATGACTCATCATTGATTAATATGGGAATCTGTCTAAATCTTTATTCAACACATTTTTCAGACTATTTAACCTCTTAGACAGAATATATTTATCTTTTTTTTGAATTTTGCCAGAGGGTGAATGTACTTTCTAGGGAGAGACAGAGAGGAAGGAAAGTAAGAAAGCATCCCCAACCATGAAATGGACACACCATAATCCCTTCTCCTCCATTTCTCCCTGTTCTTGGGATTTTGGGCACTCACAACCTGTCAGCCATGTTTTTCAAGCCATCGGGTCCAGGACTCTAACCACAGAGTCAGACATATAGGACGCAGTGCCTAAACTACCACACCTTGGGCTGGCCCTGCTGTTTACTTTTAAAGCCACATATGCCCTTAGGTTTTACAATAAAAATCAGCATGGTCCCCTCAGTCTTTCCTGATCCCCACAAACAAAGAGGACATTAAAATGGCCCTGTTTCCTATGTGAAAAAATTTTAAGATTTTATTCTAAAAGAACAGAGAGGTATTTAAACAGAAGAATAGCAGAACAAATATGTTAATTAAGAAGTATAGGGGCTGGCAGTTGGCATGGTGCTTAAAGGCGCTAGACTCCCACATGGGCGCCTGTGGTTCGAGTCCCAGACCTGGTGGCTTGCTTTCTCATTTGCTCTCTTTCTCTTTCTCTCTCTCTCTCTCTGTCCCTCTGTGGTCAATTTTAAATAAAGTTAAATAAAATAATTCACAAAAAATAAAACATAAGCACGTGTAAAAATATTGGGTAGTCTGAAAAGTGACGTATTTTTACATATACATCAGGATTTTTCCAGTGATCCAATATAAACAAATAATTGTGATGAGCTGAGGCAAGAATACTACTTAGGAATAATGGAACAGTCTAGCAGAGAGATATACGAGGACTAAGCCTAGGGTAAAGACAGTGAAGAGATGGGAAGAGACTCAAAAGATGTTTTGGAGGTAGAGTCATTAGAATTTAGTACCTGATGAGATGTAGGGAATAATGGAAGCAAATGATGCATACAAGGGTCCTCATTTAACCAGCTAGGTAAAGATAGTAACTATTAAATTTGGAAGGCAAGAAGAGGAATGTTCTGGAGGCAGGTTTTGGTGATTATGGTGGGCATTTTCTTGTTTGCTCTTAGAACTTTGTTCTGCCCTTCGCGGGTGCTCTCCTACATCACAGAGAACTGTGTTACCCAGGCTCTCCTGCCCACTGGCCCTGGGCAGGTTTGGGCAATGGCAGGCATTGAGAGATTAAAGCTGGGAGGTAGGGGGAAGCCAGAGTATTTCCTCCTCTCTCACTTCACACCAGATCAGCATTAGGAAATGTCAGCTACCAGAAATAATTGGTTTTAGTTCTTTCTTTGGTTATAGCTCCAGCCTCAGTCCTGCGGATATCACTGACTTACAATGGCTCTACTTACAACTCTGACTTGATGATGGTGCAGAAGTGATCCACATTCAGTAGAAACCATACCTTACCAATACAACCATTTTCTTCTAGTATTCTCTAAATTACACAATATGATTAATAACTTTATTATGAAATAGGCTTTATGTTAGATGACTTTGCCCAACTGTCGGCTAATATAAGTGATCTGGAAATATTTAAGGTAGTCTAGGCTAAGATATGGTATTTGGTGTATTAAATAATGTATTTAAAAATGCATTTTCTACTTACAATATTTTTTAAAGATTTCTGGCCATAGGATGTGTGCACTTGCTGGAGAGTGAGTGGAAGTGAGAAATCAGTGTGGCCCCTGAGGGATGGCCAGACTACAATCCCAATACATTCTCTTCCAGTCTCCTTTCAGGATTTTGGGTATGCACACACATGTGCCCAGTGGGTCTTTCAGGCCACCAGGTCAAGGACTCAAACCTTGTAGTTGACCATGCAGGATCTAGCACCCATCACCACTATGCCACTAGCCCATAATATTTTTTTACTTATGATAGTTTATCTTACATAACCCAATCCTAACTGTAGCTGGTGGCTTATGAGTTCTGGATTCTGGAAACCTCACCTCCTGTAATCCCTCTTGTCCTAAGGTTAACAATGGCTTCCTGCTGTAGCTCATTCTCTAGGTTGTCTTGTTCACCCATTTTGGCTTGTCTGTGTATCACTTGCATAACCAATTTCCAGTGTAATATTCCCTGTGTGAAATACTTGTATTGACTTATCTTTTTGACTGTACTCTAATTGATACAATAATTGTTTTGTATCTGTGCATATGTTGCTTATAACAAGGAGACTCAGAAATCAAGTAGATGTAAATTAATAGCTGTAAAAATTTCACCAAATAAAGTCCAGATATCAAGCAATAGACTGAAGGTTTTATCTGACATAACCCAATCCTAAATCAAGGAGAGACTAAGAGTCTTACTTTGGTATTCTATTTTGTTGATAGGGAAAAATTGATTTTAAATTACACAAATATCCAATGACAGGAGTAATAACAGGTAACAACTTGTGTTGTTCTTACTATATACCATGCTGTGCGGAAGGGACTTTACCTAATTCTTTTTTTTTTTTTTTGGAGAGGTTTTCTCTATAGGACACGTGTGCTTGCCAGACAGAGAGAGAGAGACATAGGGACAGAAAGCGAGAAATCACCCCCCAGGGGGGATGGTCACGCTGCAATCCCTTCTCCTCCATTCTCCTCTCGGGATATTGGGCACACGCACATGTGCCCGGCGTGAGTTTTAAGCCACCGTGTCCGGGACACGAACCGCGGTCGACTACGTGGGAGTCCAGCGACATAGCCATTACGCTAACTGCTGGTTCCCACCTAATTCTTAAAACACAACCCTACAGGTTCATTTTAGTGTGTAAAATACAGCCCTATTGACACATAATATTGTGATCTCTATTCACAAGTAAGAGAACTGAGACTTGGAGAGATTAAATTTGTTCCAGGCTGCTTGGCTCTAACATCCCTACTTAGCATACACTACAGTGTAACACATAGCTGCATGACTTAGTGTGCTAGATGTAGTTACTAACAGGGGTTTTTGGGGTCTGCTTTTTTTTAAGGGGGAAACAATATTTGTGGGTAGAGTTGTTAAAGTCTTGTATTTTTTCCTAAATATATCTCTAAAGTAAAAACAAAACAAAAAAACAAACACTCCACAAAAATAATTTTGGAAATTTTTAATGCACAAAAAACATCCCAGAAACAGAACAGGTATTGACTTATTAACCGTGAAGCACTATATAAAGGAGACCCCACCCCACATAGTAAATAGGAATATAGTGTAAATAGACAGAGGGTGAACACTTTAGGATTAAATGCAAACCCTAAAGCTGTATACAACATTCATATATGGCTTATTATCTCATAGCAATACTATTTTCATAATGACGTATATAACATACTTACTGTTAAGATGCTTTCGACTCAAAAGTTAAACAAAAATACTGAAGAGGTAGTTTTGCCAATGCAAGGTGAGAAAAAGGCTTTACCTTGCTTTGGTTGTTTCCTCAAAAATCTGCAACCATTTCTTTATGTTCTAATTTTCTCCTGGATAAGCCAGAAAGATGATTTTTTTTAGAACAGAAATGACCAATCACAACCCTTTGAACAACCGTTTTTAGGATAGAAATGACCAATCACAACCCTTTGAACAACCAGTTTTGCCCCAAGTGGACAATGATGCTTTTAAAATTTCAAAACGATTGAGTTGAAAGTGATCAGGAAAATTTCCAGAGTGTTCCTCCTTGCCTTGGCTATAAAATGATTCTGGTGCAATGGAAATCTATGAAGGGCTGACAAGCAGTTGTAGTCATTCACCCTATTGTCTCCTTAAACTCAATGCATGGACTTTGATAACTTCTATAATAATCCCCCCAAAATTGGTAGGTGCCTTGTCACTGAAAGTTAGGAACTGTTTTAAGTTTTTTTAATGAAGTCAGAAATAAGTTTGAAAACTTCTCTAGTTGGCCTGTGACACTGCAGGATTGGTGGTACAAGTGTCAGCACGTAATCCCTCATGCTTTCGGTTGTTTCATGAAGTCATCGGTTCTTAAAATTCAAAGGGAGTCGTGGCTTCTCCCTGCCAGATGCCACTTGCTCATTTACCTGTGTGTGCGACACATGGAGTGGAGAAGATCTGTCAATTTTCAAACTCTTTGACACTGGTCTTTAGACCCTATATACAAACTAGCTTATCCTATCCTTACAATGAGAAATAAGCCCACAAAAAAATAAAAAATAAAAAGTTTCAAGAGGCAACAAAACATTTGTCAATTCTCAGAACTAGAACAGTCACGTACTGGACAATGGTTAGGAACCACTAGAAACAAAGTGACATCATATTAGTCAGGTATAACTTCTTACACACAAGAAAGCATAAATATACAGTAAATACGAGCTTCCTATGTCGCCCCAGCAGAATATGTACAGATGAGAGCGGCAGCGAAACTGAGTGGGAATTCCCTTACATATCCCCAGCTAAAAAGCAGTTCGGGCACACAACAGTTCGGAGGTGACAGATGCTGAGGACCCATGTGGGGACACTAAGCAGATATCCACATACATTTATCCTCAAAAATGCACGATGTGAGAAACGAAGGTCACAAGTGAGTAGCGCTTTGCCTGCCGAGTATCTTCTTTCACATAAATAGGCACAAGTCCGTCCTCCAGCGGTGGTCAGCAAGTCGCACGCCTCTCACATGGCCATGGTGCTGGGGACAGATCCTCTCAGCACACACTGAGCCAAGTCCCAGGCTGTGCAATCACACCTGCTTCCACGGATTCAGGTCAACACGCTCCTGCCTTCAGTCTTGGGACTCAAATCAAAGTATAAATAACAGAGGCCCTGCTTGTGGCTCTGCCTTTCACAATGTAACTGGGAACCAGTACTGGTCAGTGCAGCACGCGTGCTGGACACCAGTGTGCAGGAGTGGAGAGCAGCTTTGTGCACTTTTGCAAAAACGAAAACCCCCCAAACATCCACCATTAATGTCTTTTATTTTACTGGTTAGCTCTGTCTGTCGCTAGGAAGACGCTGTGCTGTTCCTGGGCTCTCTCCATCAACTTCCTCTTCTTCTTCTTGTTCCTCTTCTCCTTTGCCTTGGGTGTTCTCTTCCCTACAATGGGGGGAAGAGAGAGAGAAATGAGCAGATGTCGGCAAAGGTTCTTTCTCTAGGAAAGAAAACACAAAACATCGAGGGTTTTGCACAAAGGCCATCTGGAAAACATCACCTATGGAAAAAGCAGCCTCAAAGAGAAAATGGTTCACATTAATTTTGACAGAATAATAATAATTTACTAAATTGGGTATGCTGTCTAAAACAGAGACTGATCTTCCTGTTACAGAGAATTGGCATATTTAAAAACCTCCCAGTGGCCTGATCAGTCTTCCAAATATCATCCTGCCACAAAAACTCCATTTATCCCTTCCTACTTTTAACAATGCTACCCTTTACTAGACATTTTTACATCTTTCTGCTGCCCCATATGTCAGTGGGCTGAAAGAAAATAAGCATCTATCTACAGTAAATACACCAGAAGTTTCAAACTCCCCTGTCTCAGCCTCATGGGGGAAAAAAAAGTCTTGTTTGTAACATTACTCCCCTTCATGTTCTTGAAACGCTGATATATGAAATGACATGTGTGTAATATTTTATTTTCTATGAACATTCACGAGGACATCATTCCTTGTGTGCCTTATGGCTCCTTACCCAAATCCCCTGGACAAGTTGTTCTTATTAATGGAGAATAAGAAGAATGCTTTCTTGTTCTGATGTACTGGTGGTATGTGTCTTCTACCTCAAATCATATCAAGTTATCCTATTTCTCTTCTTTGCCTTAGCTACTAGGAAGCCCAGACCACAAACTAAATAGTTGAGGTCTTGTTCCATCCAGAGTTTTTGGGTGCTCTTTTCCCTTTGCCTCTTCCAACTCGTGGTTGTGGTTTATAGTCTTCATAAAGCTTCAACATTTCTTTGCAAGTAAGTATATATAAGGTAACAAAAAAGAATAATGAACATAAGGATTTTTTTTTCAGTCCATTGCCCCATCTCAGTCCTAGAAACATAGGATAATGGGATTTTTAGAACAGAAAAAAATTGTTAAAGGTCTGCATTTTACAAAAAGTCACCACTTACACTTTCAGCACAGGAAGACTTCAACGAAGTAGAAAGATCCCTATGAGTTCTCCCTCCCCGTTTACCTTCCAAGTTTATCATGCAGTTCTACAAAATGTAAGTTTTCTCTTACTATAAGGTGTAGCTATTACACACTGCTGTAGTCAGGACCACAAATAGGATATTCCATTTCATGCTCCTCATGCTGCCCACAGCTACGAAACTCAATATCGTAGACCCTTTCATTACAGGGATATTGCTGGCCAATTTTTCAATCCAGACAACACAGAAGGTAGCTGTGTCAAAACTGAAAGCGAAGCAGACCAGAGACTGGGGAGATGCATGCCTTAGGAAACAAGAGTCACATAAGATTAAGGGAGGGAATGAAATTTTTATAATGAAGATATTCCTCATTTCTGTTCTTTCTGATCAGAAAGCCTGTGTTTTGTTTGAGGACAGGAAGCAATCTCACTAAGGCCTTAATGCAGTGACTGGCACATAGTCAATGTTTGATAAATGTTTGCTGAGCTACAATTATTAATCACAAGAAAAAAGATGAAGTGTTACTTATTTTTAATAGGACACTGCATTAAAAAAACAAGAACATGATCATCTCCCCATATGAAATTATAAAGTTTCTTGATATTAACTCTTGGTTCTAATTAGATTCTGGCATTAACATTATAATGGCATTTTGCCATCTCTAAAATGTAGTTAATCCTACCCAATGAAACTGCAGTCCAAGCGATCATTAATCAAAGCAGTTGTAAAATTACAACTATTTAGTAACGCTATCTCTAATGATGCGACATACCTAATGAGGATAAAGAGATGGGATAATTAATATCAAATAGCATATTTAAAAAGAAACTTCCATGATAAAGTTTTATGAAGAAGGTTTCCTTAGTACTATTTTTTTTTCCAAGCAAACGACAAAAATCCTTGGATAAAAAAAATCATTGCTAACTACATTTTAAATACTCATTTGGCTTATACTTAATTTATATGAAGCCTAATATTTCTTTTAAAAGTAATTTGAAATAAAGGGAATGGAAAGAATAAAGCTAACTTATTAGATTGTTAAATATGTTCTAAAATTTTGATATACTAAATGTTAAAGAAAACTTTTCACATTCACAATTTTAATTTTTCATATAAATTATGGAGTTGAAAGTTAAATGTGAACTACTTTCACTAACAGCAAATCTATACAAAATGACTGGAACTCCTATTTTAAAATGGCCAATTTCATATATTTTCCCATTATTTTGATATAATTGTCAATATTAAATTGTCTTTGGGTTTGCTGGCTGATATGATATGGTATAAAACTTGCATAAAGTAACTAGTATCCTGGCCAAATCTTCAGCAATGCTTCTGAAAACTTACTTATATCATATAATTTTTTTGAATTGTATGATTATTACTTTGGCAATAAGTTATGTAGTACCAATTCCAACCTGCAATGTTTTTGGGGCCCCCTAATTGCAACCCTAAAGACTTTCCTCCGAAGTTGCTTTTGAATGACATCCCTTTGCTATTATTTGGTTGGTTGGTTTTGTTTTTGGCCAATCCCATTTCTCATGTAGAATATATTGTAAATACCAAAGAATTAAGATGGTTAGCCAAGATTTGACCACAGACAGGCCTAAATTAACTGAAACTATGTTGTGGGCCATAGGAGGCTGTTCTGACTTTCAGCCCAACTCAAAGTAATAAAAGAATATTAAAACATGGCATAAGGTATAAGAATGGTCTTGCATAGATGTTCTTCTGAGTGTTACTAAGATTTTCACACATGAAGGACAAAATTAATCAGTAAGATCAAAGCTAAAAAATATACCCCTGTTCTTATGTATATATTTGAAATAAGTTATATTGGACATACAAGTATGCTAATTTGCCTCCACTTAACTTCTTCACAACTGTAGTCATGAGATTGGACTAGGAGAATAACTTCTATTAGATTTCAGAGTATTGCACTTCTCAAAGCACATTCATGCTGTACAGGAAGTATTTAAAGGCAAGTGTGATACCACGTATCCAAAGAATGATTCAGCTCATGAATTTAACTATCTTTTTATTTCATGAGAAAAGAAATAGAGTATGTACTGCCCAAGATCAGAAGAAAAGCTTTGCGTTTTATGAGGGAGATTGTCAGCTTCCAGCATATTCAATTGTAATGACGTACTCTGCACATCTTTCCCAAGGGCTTTGAGAGGGAGAAGTAAACCCAAGTGAATCTTCTCAATACTAGGCAGAGTCAGGTCTACAGAGCAGATCTTTTCAGCACTGTTTGGGCGATGCAAGACGACTTGCCCAGATAGTATCTTTTTTTTTTTTTTAAGAGAGATTTTTATTATAGGGTGCGTGTGCTCACTGGAGAGACAGAGACAGAGAGACAGAAAGTAAAAAATGACCCTCCAGGAGGATGGCCATGCTGTAATCCCTTCTCCTCCATTCTCATCTCGGGATCTTGGGCACACATGCATACACACCCAGAATGAGTTTTAAGTTCTTGGGTCTGGGATTCAAACCACAGTCGACTACATGGGAGTCCAGCAATGTAACCATTACACCACCTACGGGTCCTATCAGTATCATTTTTAAGGAAGGCAACTGCGGTTTAAGAGAGAGAGGTGACCTCAGGGAGGAAGCAAACCTGGTAGCTAAGGTATAATCTTTCATTATAGCTGCTAGTTTCTACATTTATAGCATGAAGATGCTACTTCTATTTTTTATTGGAATGTTATGAGATACCATGTGAAATATGTGTCCCCAAATTAAAGGTAGATATGTAAAATATCACTAGAAAGACAAGAAATCGTAAAAATGAGCAAACGTAGGAAGAAATATGATCAAAACCAGACACTAACCAACCTAATTACATTGGCTTGCACACATGGAAACTGTCCAATGGGATAACCTATCAACTCTTCCACACAAGAAGGTGAGCAATTTATTATGGAAATATTTCAACACCCATCTGTCGATTACTGCTAGTAAGATAAGAATAGGGTAGATTATTTTGGACTAAGATATTATTCTGACTTAGAAATTACATGAAGCTGTGAAAATACCAACTCCAAGCCCATTCACTCACTGATTTCATTCTTTTATAAGTTCCCAAATTCAAGCAAGGTCTTCAAATAGTTTTTTTTTCTCAGTAGATTAAGGCAATAGTCTCTCTATCATTAAAACAACAATTCTTCTATAGATATCAGTAAGGCACAGAGGCTGTCCAGCGTTTCCATACTAAGTGCTTGTTTTGAGACTTTCTATGGATACATTCAATGGGAGAAAACGGAAGGAAAAAAATCAGTAGCTGTGACTATAAAAATAAAGTATTTTCTTTAAAAAAAAAAAAGTCTTTTCTGTATGTGTGTATGTGTGTGCGTATATATGTGTGTGTGTGTATATGCATGTATACAAACACACGAGAAAGCAAGTCACAATTATTTTTAAAAAGTAATGAACTGTAATTAAGATTTTGAGCAACACAACTGTGACAAAAGTAATCACTTGAAACCAGAATCTAGTTTTACCTATTTTTATAAGTTTGACTTGAAACCTGGGCCTTCACTGCAGTATGAAATTCACTATGGAGACATGGAGATCACATCAAAGAGATTCGGTCATTCTTCAAGTAACTGAAACTTAGAGACGAAATGCCTTTTGTAACTGTGAACCCAGAAAAGTCTCATACTTCAGAAAACACTCCATAGGCAGAATATAAAAGATGCTTCCACAACCTAAACTCACAAGGACTGAATAGTAGATGATAAATAGCAATCGGGCCATTTTTTTCTTTCACTTGGGCACATTGAGTATGCCCCAAAATGAGTAGCAACAGAGATTTATTTATCTAAGAGTGATTAATGCTTTTCTGGAAAAATGCCATCTGGTTCCTAAAATATTTTACAAGCTCATATAAAAATAGACAAAAGACCTAAATACAATTCAGAAAAAGAAATTAAAAATTAGTTAATGAGTACATTTAA